ATGTTGAGAATCAGAATTCTCACTGTGGGATAACGGAGAAATATGTATAGAATGTGCAGAAGAATCCTGAGGTGTTGGATTTGAATCAGTATGAGCTCATGATTAAAGCAGATAAATCCCATTTCCTAGCTCTCCCCACGTGAAGGGCCCAGGGGCAGTAACGGATCACTGAACACACCTAAGACACATATCTCAGTGCCAAAAGACCACTCCCCACTGAGAGAAACTAGAAATCCTTAGATAAGTGGTTGATTTCAGGTCTGGAGCAGGGACATTACAAGGATAGTCCAGAATATCTTGTTGTGCTAAAAGCAAGGAAGAACTAATGAGAACGTGTCAAAACGACCTAGGAGCCAGTGTAAAGGGACTCCTTCCAGACACAGTCAAGAAAATTCGAACAGCAGAAAGAATAATGACAGTAGTGGATTTTAATGCATTGAGTCAAAAAATAATCTATGAATCATTAGGGACACTAAAAATGAGGAGGAAGATGAGGAAAGAAAAGCTCCTCTATCAAGAAGAATGCTAATTAATAAGTGTAGAGGGAATGATAGATTTAAAAATCATCCTTTTGTATGTGCCGATGTAATAGTTGATTCAAGTGAGAATTATCAAGGGGTGTAAAAAACATCAAGTGAAAGGTTTAGGGGAATAGGATTCTCAAACCCTCTTGAAGTATCACTACACAGATCCTTTACAAGAGGAGAAAGGTAGTCATCATCTTAGTGCTCATACACAGCACCAACTGTGGGGTCCCTGAAGTTGCCCGTCACTTGACAAGATAGAGGGAGGGATGTACATCACCACCATGTCATAATATTCTTGTCAAAAAATATCTTGCATCCTGGTTTTGTCACATAGCATCAGGCTTAATATTACCAGAAACATGAACATGGACTGCATATTAGGTTATTTTAAAATTAACACTAAACATCTTAGAGGTTATATGGCATTGTAGATATGCAGGAGAATGTGCTTATTCTTAGGTCATTTATGCTGAAGAGTTTAGAAGTCAAGTGTCATGATTTCTGTAATGTACTTCCAAATGGTTAAAAATCTTGTATGTACTTATAGATATGACATTTCCACATCATACATATCTATCATATATGTAAGATATAAAAAGGCTTGTCTGGAAAGTATCATGCCATTGTTAATATAACGAGAACATATTTTACACAGCTAGATACTTTCTGGATAGCTATCTCTCTCTCTGTCTCGGTCTCTCTCTGTCTCAGTCTCTGTCTCTGTCTCTCTCTCTATATATATATATATGGAATAGTAAATGTAGCAAAGTGTTAACAAATGTTGAATGTAGGTGAAGGGTTTACAGGTCTTCTTTGTACTAGTCTTTCAATTTCTCTATAGCTTTGAAACATTTCACAATAGAATACTGGGCAAAAGCAGTGCCGAGGTCACCCTATATAGCACACCTATGGGTGCCCAGTACAGGGCAGGTGCTCAAATAGCCAAATGAGCCCACCATCAACATGACCTTTTTTGTCTTTCAAGGCCTCAACTGTTCCATTTCACAATCTTGGCTGTGGTGTGGTTAAAGGTGGAGAAGTAACCACTAAGGAAGTGAGCTGTGGTTTTGTCTGACACATTTGCGGAAAAGGAAAAAATAAAGAATCTGTTCAGTCTCTTATCAACAGCTGCTTCCCAGATGAAGCCACCGGGCTCAGTGGCCACGAGGTTCTCTCTCCAGTGGTAGATTTCTCTGCAGGCCCTCAAAGGCACTGGGGTGTTGAAATTACAAATTCTAACATTCCCCAGAAGACAATTTTGTAGCAGGAATGGAAGCAGCGTGAATCCCTTCAGCTCAATCCTAAAGGTTGCTCTCTGGCTCCCCGAGGGGAGCTTCGGTTAATCGACTAGAGAGAGCCCTGCTGTACCCTCAACTCGTCCTTGAGGTGAAGGAGTTCCCCAGCACAGAAACAGTCCCCTCCCCAGAAAGAGTAGAACCTAATCCTGGCATACACACTCTGCCGAGACCTTCCTTCCGTCCAGAGGTTTCCGCAGTGGGGCCTCAAAATAACTTCAGAACTGAGGACTGGTGTCTTACATATTGGTGTCTTTAATATGATAATGTCCACACATCTTCTGTAGAGCAGGAATTGGTGTTTTATTAATGATGTTTAATTAAAATTTAATTTCAAAGCCTTGCTGCTCTCACATTGTTTTGATAAAGGCTTTGCATTTTTTTTTCCCCTTGGTGACAAGAAGGAAAAGAGGAGAGGTTAACGCATGCCTTAAAGCTGGAATCTGGGATTTGCTGGTGCACATGTCGGTAATCCTCAAAGAGCAGTCCAAGGTGGGCAGAGCATCTTTGAAAAATATGCCCTGAGCTGCTCCTTCGCTAAACATTATTGCTCATCTCCTAAGTCCTGAATTTTCATGCTGATGTCCAACCTGTCTAAAAACCAGGAATTCCCTGTGAATACGAATATTTAAACCACCCTTTTGCCCTCATTCTGCTTCTCAAATCAGGCGCCAAGCACAATGCCACTTTTTGAGAGTCTATGTTGTGTTTTCCATAACTGGTTAGAGTGGATATCTAGAGCTTTGGAGAAGTTTGCTCGGGAAGCTAAGTGGTTGGGAAGTTGCTTGTGTCAGATGCCCCTTCATCAAGAAATATTTTTTTCTATGATAGTGCAAATGCACAGCAGCCACATTTATTGAAAACTTACAATCTGCTGGGTATCAGTCCAATTTCTTTATATATCATCCCTTTTCGTGTGCTCAAGAACCCATAAGGTAGGTATACTATAATTAACTCCATTTAATAGATGAGGACATCAGGGCACTAAGGGTCCCAGGCATACTTGGCCTCAGAATCTACCTTTTCCAACAGTGCATTATTCCACCTGCTGGAGGAAGTGTTTGTGCATTTTTGAAACAATGGAGCCAGATCTAGGGAAAGCTCTGGTAGCTTTATCAGAAGCCAAATCCAGGGTCACAGCTCAGGGCTGCAGAATGAAGGCAAAGCCAGATGCCTAAGCCCCCTCTCTTGGAGGCTGGGTGGGGAGGGGTGCACAGGAAGTAGAGCATTCAGCTCCCCTAGAGAAGCTGGTTGTGGGAGGTGGGGAGAGCTGTACCCACAGAAGACTGAGGTTCAGTGCAAGGTCAGGAAGGGGAGGAGCTGAGGTGACAGAGGCTGGGTCCTCACTGCTGCTGCTACCTCCACAATGACCCAACACCCAGTATGGGGAGGCGGTGTTGCAAACAAGATGGCTGTGAGGGTGAACTTGAAGGGGATCAAGTAGGGATTTATCATGAAGGTAGATGGTGTAAAACTTGCAGTTCTAGGATGGGACACAGGGGTAAGTGGAAATTGAGAACCAGGGTGAGAAGAGGCTGGTGGTCTTTCTCTAATTCCTTGTGAGGTTTTGCAGCTGAGGATGAGGATCTGGATCCCACCCAGGGCCATAACTCAGGGGTCCTTAGAACTTGCTTTCATGAAAAAAGAGCACTAGACAGGATTGCCGTGGTAGAGGCTGTGTCTTGAGGTTCTAAGACTAATCTGAGTCAAGTAGGGTGTTTGCCCATGTAGCCAACAATGACTATGGATATGTGCTATGGATAAATCCTTTGGATCTTTTTCTCCCATTTTTGTGCCCCTCCATCTTTTGCCTGTACATACAGGGAGACAAAAGTTCCTGAAATTTTACCTCCCAATCTCTTCTTCTCATCCCTGCCCCTCACCAATGGATGGAAGTTCCCTTCCTTGACTTTGAGCATCTGTGATACATGGCCAGCCTGTAGTGTCCCCTGCAGGGCTCAGGTTGCAGTCACCCTTTGCTGGACTTGGCCAGAAGTTGTACCCTAGCTTGTTCCCCTTTCCAGTTCTGCTTAATCATCTCCCCTCCCAGTTTCCCCTGGGAAAACCTTCTTCATCCATCCCTTGCACACACATTTTCATATCAGAGTTTGACTCTTGGGAACTAACTAAAGATAGTTATTTCCCCCAAGGCCAGGGGCAGCCAGGCTGGAGGGAAGACTGAGATGCAGCCATGGAGAAGTGTTTCTTAGATAAGTCCTGGAAGCGGCAAATTCTACTCCATCCATAAGGTGACTGTGGTGGCAGAGTTACACACAAATCGCAGAGGGAACTTGGGAAGGAATACCCAAGCCAGTTTGGGGCAGTAAAGGAAGGCTTCCTGGAGGAAGTAACATTTGAACAAAGTCTTGAAAGATCGGTAGAGTTTGTCCAGCAAACATGGACGAAAAGATCATTCCCAGCAGGAGAAACAGCATGGGTGAGAACAGAGAGGCAGGACAAGTTATGTGCTCTAGGGGTAGCGGTGCCGTGTTCCTGGAGACTAAAGTTATGAGGCTTGTTGGAAGATAAACTGCAGGGCGCAGACTCATTAGAGCCTTGTAAGGTGTGGAGGTGGGGTGGGGTGGGAGGCAGAAATGGGCGCTCCTAGGCTGACTTCTAGGTCTCTATCTTGAGTTACAGGACGCAGTTCATTGAGATGAAGAACACAGGGAGAGACGGCAGCATAGAAGAGGAGATTAGTTTGTTTTTGAACACTTTGAATTTGAGATGCCTTTGAATTTGAGTGTGCTAAGTTTTTTCACATGTATTTTCTTTTTAAAACTTTTTACACAATCCAGAGTTATCTGAGTCCCGAACTCAGCATGTTTAAATAATATGTTTTCTTCCTTTTGGGGAAGGATCAGGGGTTGTTAAACTTTGAGCAGAGATGGCGGCATAAATAGGGGAGTGGGATGGAGGCAGAAAAAGGTCACACGTGAGTGCATGTCTGTGGCAGAGCTGCCGCTGTGATGGGAACAGCACCCCCTGGAGTTGTGCAATGCACAGCTAGCAAAGTCCTTCACTGAAGACCTTGGAAAACAGTCAGAAACCAAAAGAGGCAGCGGGGGTGGGGGAGATTAAAGATGCAGGAAGAATAAAAACATCGCAACTGACTAGCATGGCCCCGTGCTCAGGTTCAACCTCCCTGTTCCCGAGTAAGTTCTCCCCTCTTGCTCACCGTCCTCTTCCGTCTGCACCACCAGCTCCTCACTCTCCATCCGGCCCTCGGGGTTGGACAGCAGGAGGCGCAGCCGGATGGTCATGAAGGGGCGCAGCCCGCGCAGGGTGTAGTGGGAGGAGGTCTGGATCACCTCCTCGGCCTCGTACTGCTGCTGGTTGAACACGTACTGGTACTGCACGGTGAGGTTGTAGCTGTGGCAGCGGGTCACCGCGTAGCCGAAGGGCTCCCACTGCAGGGTCAGCTGCCGGGCTCGGATGTCCACGATCTCCACGTTCTGTGGGCCATGCACCGGGTCTGCAAGACACACACGCGAGACACAAGGGCTCTGAGCAGGCTGTCGGGAAGGCGGGGTGTGTGTCCCCTGACACAGGGAGAACAGCTCTTCCGAACTTATCTCCACCACCCAGTTGCGGCCTTCCTGATTTTGGCAGCATGCAGTATCATTTAGACAACGTTTTTCTTTAAATCGATCTCCTTCGTCTTATTTAAAAACATGCAGCTAAAAGAAAAACAATAAATATATAGAAGGAAAACTTGCCATAAATAAATGTTAACCCTAAACATAAATGCAAAATTGTTCGATTCTTAAGAGTTCATCAAGGGGCCACCGAAAACCATCTTGGGTACCACCGACAGCACACACAACACTTCCGGGACATGCCTGTCTACGTGCCTGCTGGAATGCTGACCTGCTTCCTTATTTTTAATTCAGCCACATCCTTGCCTCTTGGGGACCAGCCTCCCCTCTTCAGTCAACAACAACCAGACACAGAAGCTGGAAACTGAGTCGCATCCTTAATATGACCAGCACCCAGTCTCTCCACACTGCCACCCATTGGCTCTGCCTTGGGGTTTCCCTTCCTTTCCTGGACAACACAGTTCATCATTTCTCAGCCTCCTGTGACAGACAGTTCTCCACCTGTCTGTCTCCTCTCCAGTTTCCCCCACGCTGGCCCCTCCAGGAACAGCATTCTAAAGGCAGATCCGACAGTGCCTTCTCTCACCCAGCGCTGTCTCCCGCTCCACCCTCCCCACTGAACTTGGCCCCAGACCCCCTCCTAGATATAGCATTGGCTATGTCTTTTATTTCACTATGAATAGTCTCTTTACACTTTATACATATTAAATAGATGTTTTCATACCAAACAGATTATAACAACATGTTTTTTAAAAATCCCCACATGTAAAGCTCATTCTATGTTTAGGTTTAGGCAGTTGTTACGGTGGAAACATAACTTCCCGTGTGTGTGACAGTCGCCCCCAGAAAGTCTTGTGTCAGAGTCCCTCAGCTGGGAGTAGTTAAGCACAGATTAGCGATTCAATCAGTACTTTCCCCCATATCACGTACAGGACTCTGCCAAGTTATGTAACCTCTTTGGTCTACTTTTTATTTCATTTGTAAAATGAAGATAATAACAGTACCTAACCTCATTGCAGGGGAGGAGGGAGTTAGATAAGGTATTTGTAAAACAGTTAGAATTGGAACTTAATAAGCAGTCCATATATGGTAGCTGGGGGGAGTTGTTTGCTTGTTTTGCAGTAATAGTAATAATAATAGTAATATTTAGGGGTGAGGCTACCTCTGCACCAGTACAGCTATAAGAGCAAAAGCTGGAGAGGGGGTGATCTTGGTGCCAGTTGATCTGTCCTTATGGGGAAAATGTCCTATAACCAGTATCAGAGCCTGACCAAGGGACACACTTTACAGTGATGTCAGGGAGCTTGGTGAGCCAGCCCAGAACTCTCCATGTGGCTGCTGGCCTGAGGTGGCCAGGGAGAGCGGGCAACTCTGGCCCCTGATCAACTGGGGAATTCACTGTCACTCTCATAGCCCAATTAATTATTCATGTATGCAGGTCCTCTGTGGAAAGGAGAGCCAGCATCCCCAAATCACATGGGTGACTTGGAGAAGGTGACATTGGATCAGCTGTTGCTGTGGGCCCATTGTGCTGAACCCACGTGGAACAGAAGGTGAAGAGTGCTGTCCCTTTATGTCCCTTTAGCTGGGGGGCTATGATTGGGCACAGCAGCCGCTGCTGGTTAGACATCTCAGAGTGGTTCAGACTGCACCGAGCACAGTGGACACAGAGACAGAGAGAAGCTGTCTGCCCAGGAAGCCCCAGGTGTCACCATCAGCCTTGCCCAACCGGAGCCTTTCCACTTGTCCAGGCGCCGGAACTCTCCTGGCAGGGAGGCCACCCCCGAGCCCCCACTTAGGACCCACTCAACACTCCTCCTCCGGGGGTGCCTTCCACCCTGATGCCAAGGCCCCCATAGGACAGTCACTGTCCTGGGGCTCTCACCTCCCCGCGTGAGGGAGTGAAAACAGGAACATATAAGACCCACTTGAGGCCAAGGCTAAGCCCACATTTTGTTAACCATGTTAAAATGTACCATATCCCATTTAAATATCATTTCTGAGAGCTCCAAGATGGGCTTCAAGCACAAACAAAACACCATTGATGGAGCCCTGGCCTCAAGTGTCAGGTTCTGTCTCCTGAATCATCCCCTGACCCTGGGAGGGAGGGATGACCAAGCCCCCTTTACAGATAAACAAACTGAGGCCCAGAGGGCTCTGGGAACTTGTCTCGAGTAGCAAGGCTAGCAAGTAGCCAAGAGGGGTTTGGAACTGATGTCTGCCTGACCCGACATCTAGTGTGCAAAGTAAAAAGAGCCTCAGTAGATATCAGTTGAAAGGATACATGCTCTATTTGCAGATCTCACTACCTGTGAGGAAGGCATCACCAGGCCTACCCTAGAGGAAACCAAAGCTGCATGAGGTGCAATGCTTGGCCTAAAGACATAGTGAGTGGCACCGCCAAGGTTTGAAGTCTGTGAGAGTCCAAAACCTCTGTGTTTTCTCTGCACTGTGACAGCACCAGAGACTGAGATCAGGGACAGAACATAATCATGTCTGTCATGGCGTGTCACCATCCACAGGAGTCTGGGGACACTTGGGCAGTACCACTGTGAGATCACCAACAACTGTAAGGCAGAAATGACTCTCAGGAACCCGAGACCTGCCCCAGAGGGTGATGCGGGGCTTAAATGCACTCAGTGCTAAGCTGGCCACTGGCCTGTCTTCCCGCCCCCAGTCTCCGCTCTCCTTGGAGCTCACCTGTGCAGGTGTGCACATGAACACCTTTCTGCTTCTCTTCAAGGAAGAAGCAGCCAGGGGCACTTTTTCAAAGAAGGTGAGGAAAATTGTCAGCCTCCTCCCCCCCTTCCTAGTGAAAAGGTGGGGACACAGGAAAAGCCACTTGCCTCCTCCCAAGCATGTGTGATTGACTGTCACAGTGGGCCACAGGGTACAGTGGTGCTGGCCAGAGCACGGTTTGAAGTCAGACCCTGGCACTCAGCAGCCATGTGACCTTGGGCAAGGGCACTTCATCTCTGAGCCTCCATCTCCTCATCTATAAAGTGGAAATTATTACACTAATCTCAGAGCTGTTAATGAGCACAAAATGAACTGTAAAGAGAGAGAAAATTGCCTTGGCTAACAGTAGGTACTCTTCTTAGACAGAATTGCCTTTCTTGGAGAAATGCCTTAAGAGGCTTGTTTGGAGTAGAAACTGCATTCTCGGGGCCAGGGTACCACTTCCGCCGAGCTTCCAGAGGAAGAGAAAAATGCACTCACTTGGTCTTGGGCTGCACAGGAGAGGCGTGAGGGCGAGCACAGCAGAATGTTGGGTGGAGACCAGTGTGACCCTCCTCGTGTGTTTCTATAATAAGATCTCCAGCAAGGCCCTCGAAATACTGCAAACATGATCCCTGTGATTGGATCTCCTGGGGATTCTAGGAAGGACTGAAAGCTGAAATCTGCACACCTTGGTCCAAATGCCCAAATAAGGTACCACATGGGAACACAGGGACCAGAAGCATAGGGGCCACGGAAAATATGTCTACGTGTGTTACCAAAATTTTGGGATGTTCCCCAGGCTATGGAAGTTAAGAGGTTCAAGGAAATCTCTTCAAATGCAAAAGGCAGGAAGGACTCAGGTAGACCTGCAGGTTAGGCACATGTAGGTGAAAGTGTTTTGTAAATTCAAGAACTGTCATTCAAGCAAAGGGAAAGGCAATGGCTACTGAGGTAGCGTCTCTGGGCTAGGTGCTGGCCCTTAGCACTCGCCTTCTGAAAACAACTCTATGGTGTAGGAAATTGAGGCTCAGGGAAGGGATGTAACTCACCCAGGGCCACACAGCTGAGTCCCTGTTCTCTGGGTTCCCAGGGCACTTTGCACCATTGTCCCTCACACTCAGCCTTTGTCGTGCTGCCCAGGAATTGCTTGTCCATGTGCCTTGTCTGCCCTCCTAGGCTGCAAGGGACCACGTTCTGCTTGTCCAATGACCCCGGCACACAACACATGATTGTTGAGATAAACAGATGGTGGCCTGTTCTTGGAGACTGAGCTCAGACCCCCTGACTCTACAGTCCCCGTTCTGCCTTCTTCAGCATATCAGCAGGGTCTTTAAGGGAAACATTTCCTTTTTTTGTATTCAAGCAAGAGAATGTTCTGAAATCCTATACAATGGAAACTAGTTTTCAAAAAGTGTGATGAAAGCATTCATGCTTTCAATCTGACCCCCTTACACCCCAGCCGCCAAACTCAGCTTCTGCTCCAGTAATTGCCTGCAGCAGGGAGAGTCTTGGGTTTACATTCAGGTTGGTGCAAACAAGCTGGAAATTGCTGAGAAAGCCTTGTGTGTGCAGTGGAGATTGGTTTGTTGAATTTACATCCCCCGTGTCAATACATCCAAGCCTAGAGCCTAAGGTTTCTGCTTCCAGATAAAGCCCTGTCCATATGACCTCCTCGAGTAACAGCCTCCAGGACAAGAAGATGGCCAACAGCAGGAAGAGAATGTGGCTTGTCTCAAAAGCTGGAAAACCATCCTCTGATGGGAAATCAAAGCAGCTCAATCTCTGGTGCACTTTCTATATTCTCTGAGACTGGGCGACAGGGGCCCTGTCCTGAGTCCTGTGTTTGGAGAGCCCACTTTGGCACTCTTCGAACTGTGCCCTCCTTCCAGAGCAAGGACTCAGTGCGCCAATGGGCCATGCCCACTGCCCCTCTGCTCTCCCTTCTGGAGCCATGCACCTGACACCCAAGAATTCCTTGCCCAAGGGACCCTAAACTCACTTCCAGGGCCTATGTGACTTTCTTCTGTTGGTCTGTCCTTCCTGTGAACACCCCTTGGCCCAAGGAGTGGCCAAAGGATGGTTGCTTTGGGAAAGTGAACAGAACTTGCACCTGAGGACTGAGGTCTCCACACACATGGGCATGGGGGGGCCTTTT